ATAATTCAAAGGAAAAATTAATTTAATTCATTCTTTCTTAAATTGTATTAGGTTAATTTGTATATTAAAATTAATATGGAATTATTATTATTATTATGAATTTTAATAGTAAACAGTGTAAACATTTTTTATTCTAGTTGCACAAAACTGTGCTAACTTCTATAGTTTCTACATATTCTTTTACATTATGCTGAGATGCTGTGTACATATTAATATTATAAATAATGTCTTATTTCTACAAACCCTGTATTATTTTATAAAAAGGTATATAACCAAAAACAGTTTTAAATATAATGATTGTGTATAATGGTATATTATTGACTGGCCTGTTAACAGCTAATAACAGTCTTACAAATTCATTAATTTGTTTCATATAATTATATTGTTCACTCAAGTATCAATAAATTATAATATGTATCTCTAATATACCAAATTTTTTCATGAATTAAACCATTATAGTATTGAAATAATAAGATTGTAAAAAATAACTATAATTATATTATAGACTATAGTCAGGTTGGTTGGTGAGCGAAGTGAGCAGGGGAAAGAGCCACTATTATATATAAATATATATATGTTACAGTTAAAACCCAAAATCCGTCGAAACTAGTTTTAACTAGTCAAAACTAGTTTCCACAAATCCCTTTAGTCACTTCTGGTTTTAACTAGTTAAAACTAGAATTAACTAAGACCATCGGAGTCAAAACTAGTTTTTACTTATTTTTGTTTAGATAGAACTAGATATGTCTAAAATATATTGGTGAAAACTAGAATTATCTAGAGAAAATCTGTCATGTTTATATTGATAGGTTAAACTAGTTTTAACTAGGTAGGGAAAAGTAGAAATAAGATAATAGAATAATAATTATTATAAGAATTTATTATAGGTATCATTTATTTTGACATGACAAACTGTCATGGCATTTAGAATTGCATAGTATTTTATTTTTTTTGCATAAACAACGATTTGTTCCACAGGATTTTTTGCATGTACATCTTACAAATCCTTGCCCTGACCCTGTCGATGCTTTTGTTGCGGCTGCACGGAGGGAAATATATTGGTTTGGAACTTGATTTTCTCTGATAAATTTTTCTTCACAAGTATTAAATTCAGACCTGAAACAATTTTTACTGATTACTAATTAACAAATTACTAAGTTTATTTTATTTGGTGAATGAAACAGTGATAATATGGACGCACCTACAATAAAGTTTTTCTAGAATTCCATCCTTACTCCCGATTCTATATAGATCGTGCTCTGTTTTTTCTAACACCACTCCGATGAGATTGGGATGATCTGTCTCGCCTTTGTCCACATCTGGAATGCGGATTATTACGTTGACACCAACATCAACTGCAGGAAATTTTTTTCCGGATTGAGTCATCATTCGGGCTGCCTGTTTTTCCAAATTTGCATGAGCATCCTTTCTAATTGTACTTATAAACGAGGTTTCTGAAACATATAATATTTAATATTTAAACACTCGTAAAATTTTTTTAATTTAATAATCATCAATTTTTTTTATAATTATTCTAAGCTCCACTTATGGACAACCTGGTTTTAAATTTTCATTTCTTAGCTTTTAATAAAAAATTGTTTATACATTTTTAACTACAGAATGATTATCAAATATTCATGATTTTGACGATTTTCGTCAATATTCGCACTTATAAACGCTTAAGAAAAATAATAAAAACATTTACCTGCAGCTTCCTTCTCAATCTTATTATCACGTCCAGTTTCGGTACTTATCAGATTTTCAAGTTCATCCTCGACGTTTATATTAGCAATCATATCATCGGGCAGGTTAGAAGTTACGAGCCCCACTCTTGGATCCACCCCAAACATTGCTTTATAAGGCGTCATATTTATCCCAGAGTGGTGTGCTCTATTTTTCATAAATTGGACAAACTTTAATCCTATAGACCAATTAGTCGATTTATTGTCTGTCATCCAAGAAGCTAGCATTCGCTCCACGTCTTGGTTAGCACGCTCTACGGAGCCTTGGCTTTGGGAATGCCTTGGTTTTCCGTGCACGATTTTTAACGTCGGCCATAGCTCTGCTAGCTCTGTAATCACATTATTAACAAATTCTCTCCCATTGTCTGAATGCAGAAGAACCGGTGCACCAAAGGTTAAAAATATGTCTAATAAATGGCTCGCAACTTCTTCTGCACGTTTGGTCTGCAAAGGGCGGAGCAGAACGAATTTTGTCAGATGATCTTGATAGTTAAGTATAAACCTAAACTGTGCATCGGGTTGTGACTGCATGTCTATCAAATCAATTTGACATCTACTATTAAACTCTGTGTGCAAAATTGGTTTCGAAACGAGTGCTTTCTTTCCAAGTTTTTTCTTTTTCTGACACGTTTCACAGAGAGACAAATAAATATTAATCATGTCTGTGGTAATGTTGGCGTACTTTCTTGAAGTTTCAACCTTCAGACGATCTCTCCCTCCATGCCCTACAGCGATATGTGACAAATCAATGACATCAAAAATGTCTTCCATTGGCAAATAATATTTAACCACCTCTCCACGAGTTACCAGCTTTTTTGTATCGCCAAATTCCAAAATATTGAACCGTTTTATCCTTCTATATTGAGCAGAGGTTTTTTTAGTTGCCGATATCGCTTCCTCGACCTCTTTCAAAAGCATAGGCGTCTTTTGTCATGACATTATAATGATTGTCTTTTTTTCCTTCCATCGATTCCATAAGCTTCTTAGTAAACCGTTCTCGGGTACTCATTTCTCTTTCAGTTTCTAACATGACACTAAGATTTACAGTGACAGTGTACTATAAATATTGGCGAACGTCAACGCGATTAAAAAAAAAAAGAAGAGGCAACGGGCGATTCGCGACAAAAACACGTAAGTACAACTACTACGACGAACACAATCGCACTGGCGAAACACGGCGTCAATATCGTTCAATATCGTATTAATTATTATTAACATTGTGGTAGGTTGTAGGTATAATCGGCCGAAGTCATCGTATCTAAGTGATGGATAACTGGTTAGAGTTATCTTAATTGATTTGATAATTGGCCGGTTGAATTTATCGAGCAATATTTATAGATCATCTGTGGTCGCGTCCGTTTTATGTAGTACGAGTTCGAATAGGTACTTCGTAATTGTATTCTAGTTTTTACTGACTTTTTAAACCTACGGTTAATTCTAGTTTTAACTAGTTAAAAACAGAAGTGACTAAAGGGATTTGTGAAAACTAGTTTTGACTAGTTACAACTAGTTTCGACGGTTTTCGGGTTTTAACTGTAACATATATATAATATACATTATTATAAAATCAAGATTTTAAAGTTAATATAACATCTTTTGATACTATTATGTAACATTTTAATAATGTTTCAATAAGTTGGGCTTAATATTATAATAATATTATGTTAAAATATTAATAGAACAACATTTCCGTGGCCAAAAAACTCGAAGAGAATGTTATAAAAGGTTCTTAGAACCATCTGGAAATGTTATAAAAACAACAATGTTATTTTTTTAACATTACTGTGATATTTTCAGAACGTAAATTTGCTATCTGGGGTATAATATACATATAATCATAATATTATATTATGCATCATTTTATTTGTTTAACACTGCAATAAAAAAAACTTAACTGTAACAAACTTAAATATTTTTTCTCCTTGCCTGTTTTTCAGCGAACGTTTTTATAATTTCATTAAAATCTAGTTTACAAGTTATTGACGATTCTATAGGAAGAACTGCCAAGCTGTTAAGTTCATTGGTTTCATCAATTTGTTTTTTTCTTTTTCTATTTTTTCTTTCAAACTGAGGAACATTTTCTTCAAATTTGTCTTGAGCCAATTTTTCATAGATGTTGAACATTGTTCGTAATGTTTTAATATATTCTATTAGTGTATTATACAATCCAACAACAGAACTGAGATTTATTTTAATAGTTAGTAATTTATTACTTACATTATTAAATGTTTGAAGAATATCACACCATAGCGATGTCATAAATGCAGTTTCTAATTTATTCATATTTCGTAGCAATAAACTGGCTTCACTACGTGTAAGTGGTTTTTCACTATCAGAATCTACTAGCTCCTCCATTTTTTACAGCTGTCCAATTTTTGTTAAGACTCTGACATGCATCATTTCTAGCAGACCATCTAGTTACTGAAAGTCCCTTTAGAGTTGACTCAGCATTTTGGTTTAGTATCTGCCAACGGTGAGTTGATGACGAAAAAAAAACACATAAATTTTGTACAAATAAAAAATAGTTATTTGCCACACTACAACAACTAGCTGCACACAATCCAATATGCTTTAACGAGTGAGCAGAACATGGAACAAAATCAGCAAGTGGTGCTACTAACTTAATTCGAGCTTGAACTCCTTAGTAGGCACCACACATATTCGCGGCATTATCATATGATTGACCTCTAAGATATTTAATATCAATATTATGCTTATTAAATGTGGAAAAAATAGCTTCTGCTGTTGGTTCAGCTTTGTGTCCAATATTTTCCATGAACCCCAAAAACCGTTCAACAGGTTCTCCAATACGATTTAGATATCTTATGACAAATGATAACTGGTCAACATTTGATATATCAAGTGTCGAATCAACACTAATCGAATAATATGTTAAAGATTAAAATTCTTCCACTATGGTACTTATTACTTTCTCAGCCATAATTTTAATAAATTGTTCATAAGTAAAAAATGACATATAGGATGTATTTCCTTTACCTGGATTTCCATAATTTAATATATGTTTTGATAAAAAGGGATCATACTCAGCAATAAGTTTCATAGCCATTATAAAATTGCCATTATTTTTGCCAGAAGATTCAAAACTGTCATCTCCGCCTCTAAATGATAATCCATGACTAGACAATGATTTAACAACAGAATAAACTATATTGAGCACATTGATCCAGTAATCAGTTTCGGTTTGAAGTTTATATGTAAGTTGTAAGTCTACTCTTCCAAAATCTGATGAACGCTGCTTCATTTTAAATGTACAGGTTTTATGCATAGTTGAATTTTCATGAGTATTAATTTTATTTGGATGTTTCCAGTCTGAAAATCCCTTACTTGAAAAATTGGCAGTATTTCCAAACAAATAACATGGGATGCAGTATATTTTACCAGTACTAACTGAGTAACAAAGATAGTCTCTTTGACATGTTTTACCATTAATTAATGCTGTTTTAAATAAATCTTTACTTAGGTACCTATTATGAGGTCTAAATTTTCCTTGACGTATATACTGGTATTGTGTTTTAGATTGTGAAAAATCATTATCCAAATTCTGATTAAATCCGTTTCTGCAAATAAAATCTCTGGTCACCTCATTTAATATCCATAAAGCAGGATCATCACTAAAAATAAATTTCAAAAATAATGGTTTTATTTTAACCCTAAAATACTAAATAAAATTAGTACCTATTTAGTTATGCAAATATTATTAATTTTTTTATTAATAATATTAGGTAGGTACAATTCTTAATTTAATTACTTACTCTGGCATATCTGAAGAACTAGGTGTTTGTAAAATGTTCACTTCATTGGCAATTTGAGTTTCAAAACCTTCTGTTGACGCCGCAACATAGTAGGTAGCAAGTAATATATTAAGAAGGTAATTATCATTAGTCACGGAGGAACAGCTGGTCTCACACACATATCACTTTATTTGTATTGTTTTATTTTTGTATTGAATGTGTCTTGTGAGTTATATAATATGCAGATTAAACGTTATCGCCAGCCGCCGCGCCGTCTACGCAAATATTATTTAACACGGCCGCCGTGATTTTTGTCGCTTCCCGTACGTTGTTCCGACCGTTTCAACGCGCACAAAAAATATTATTTTTAATAATTGTCTAAATAAATTAGTGCAAATATTGTTTTTTATTATAATTATTAGTGCCAGAAGGGCCTAATTAAATTGTAACAAATTAAATTAATATTGTCTTAAAAAGCGCGAATCGCTAAAGGCTAAATAGTTATTTTATATTTGTTCGGGCGCGAATCGCCACGTTTCAATTGTATTGTGCGGTGCCAATCACCATACCTTTGGCTAGTATTATTTATTGTAAGGCGAGAATCGCCAGTGTATTTTATTTTATTATTATTATGTCGATATAGCTCAGGACCAGCTGGCCAGTCTGCGCTCCACAAATTACTGTGAGTTATTTATTATATTTTTTTATATTTTTTGTTACAATATTTATTATATTCTGTCGTGCCATAAGGGCCATACAACTATTATTATACTACATTATGCCATAAGGGCTAAATATATTTGTTATATTCTGATGTGCCAGAAGGGCGCATAGCACTATCATATTATCATTTTTATATTATATTTCCCGACCACTGCTGTACGAGCTATTACACCACTACACACCCAGCTAGTCCTCCATAATATATTTTATAGACCTAGGTGTTAGTGGCGTAAAAAAATAGAGTTTGGTGCCCGGACTCGTATATTATTATTATATATTCCGGCCCGTATACCTTCATTTCCACCATGATCTTCTTTAATGGATTTACATTTCACTGAAGATTGGTCAATAAGCGGTACATTCACACTTTTTACTGAATCAATGAATTCATTGCTTGAACAAACAAATAATCAAAAAACATTATATATTTTCTTATTAATTTTATTAAGTAGGTACAATTATAAATTTAATTACTTACTCTGGCACATCAGACGAACTGGGCGTTTGTAAAATGTTCACTTCATTGGCAATTTAAGTTTCTAAACCTTCATTTCCAACATGATCTTCTTTAATGGATTTACATTTCACTGAAGATTGGTCAATAAGTGGTGAACTTTTTACTGAATCAATAAATTCATTGCTTGAATGCCTTGAACAAATAAAATAATCAATAAACATTATTTTCTTCATTCTAAGTAAACATAACTTTTATATAGAAAAAATAATAAGAACAATATAAATTATCATAGAGTATAACTGTATAAATATGTAACATATCTATAAATTACCTACCCTATATTATCGATTATTTCACTGGCAACAGTATGAACGGTATGAACGGTGTCTATTTGTTGTACTCCTAAAAACAGGGTAATTTATGTTACCTATATTACAACTAATTTCCATTATTACTATTCTTATAGTGCAGTGGCGTGGCGAAGTGAAATATTTTACCGGGCAATTAATTTTTTGATTGACCTACCACCCACCCAGTGGCTTATCCAGGGGTGACACAGGGGCCATGCCCCCCTCCCCCTCATTGGCCGTATTTGCTATTTATTGCAGTATTTTATAATTTTTTTTATTTTTTGCTATTTTTAAATTTTTAATAGTGTGTGACCCCTCCCTCCCTATAAAAAATTCTGGATACGCCACTGCTGACCCCACCCCTTAACTCTTACACAGTACTTACCCGTTGGCTATTACGGCATTACCCATGTGACATGTACAATATACATAGCAAAAATGTATCTATTTATTTAAAATACTGTAATTTGTTGAATTATTAATTACTATAAAAATGTACACTCAATTATATTAAGGCCACATACCAATACCTGGAAAATAAAAAATATATACATTTATCATAAACCACTTTTTAAACTGCATGCGTTTATTAGTTTATAACTTAAATAAGTACAACAGAAACATAATATTTAGATTAAAATATATTATGTATATACATGAATAATATTTACATAAAATTGGTTATTTTTATTATTACCTATAACAAATATTATTTAAACATTAAAGCTTTTTTTAACACAGATGAAGTGTTTGCTAATGTATCGATTGCTTCTTGAATATTAATGTTGTCAGAAAGATCTTTTTCACAAGATAGAAGCAGTAAACTTTCCAATCTACCTTGACCAATAGTTGAACGCAAGCGGATCTTAACAAGTTTAACTTTTGAAAAGGAACGTTCACTTGAAACTGAAGTAGCTGGTATTGTGCACAATGATTTGTAAGCCACATATAAGTTAGGAAATGATGAGGCTAAATTGAATGAGTTTAAGAGCTTAAATATTTGCGAAGAAGATGCCATTTTTTTAAAATTATCATGTGATATGTCTTTGTCATCCATTTCGCTGTGATCGGAATATTCGGAATCATCTTCATCGCTTGTATTTTCATTAATCAAATCATTTTCATCGTGTAAGTTTTTTGGACATATACCTGATTGTAATTTCTTAAAACTCATAGCAAAATTTCTATATTCTATTGCAATTGAATCTTTATCAATTTCAGGAATCCAGGTTTTAAGGGAATCAAAGGTATCATTAGGCACTAAATCTCCATTGCTTACTTTTAACAGTCTTTCGTAAGATAAAAATGCTAAGTCTTTCAGAATTTCTCTAGCATCTTTAAACCGTACTGTCAAAGAAGCCTTAATTTGGTCAACACATAAAAAATAAACATCTGTTCTAAAGTAATCCACTGCATTATTTGTAATTTCATCAGAAGTATTCTCATCATCCATTCTTTTCCTTTTCCTTTGCCTAATTTCAGGAAATTCTACTTCGTGAAGTTCATTTTCAACTGAAAACTCTTTAGATTCTTGTAAAACAGTATCAACTGATTCTTGTGTTCTCAATTTTGAAAATCTTTGCTCAGCAATATCAACCATTGTTAATGCTTGAATGTAATCATTTGATGGAGTTTGTAAATATGTCGATAATGGAGTAGTAATATCAAAAATGTTGTTCATTAAAAAAATAGCAGTAACAAAGCTAAAAGAAGTGACATTCTTAAGTAAATTACTAGCTGTTGAACTACACAATCGATCAATTGATTCTGACAAATCTTCGAGTGTTGCAACAATAGCCTTGAACTTCTCAAAAATTACAAATAGTGACCGATGATGTGAAGTCCAGCGGGTGGTGGAAAAAGTTTTCATTCTTAAAGGTTTCTTATTAGGGTAAAACTTTTTTTGATGCTCTAAAAAAAGGGCAGTACGTTTACGAGCTCTCATAAATTCTTTTAAAGACTGAACAGTTCCAAAAAAATTCCGTGTTTCTTTACAACTATCACACGTATCAACAACAACTAAATTCAATACGTGAGAAAAACACCATACATAAATCGCTCTTGGATTATGTTGCTGTACCAATGAGCGAACACCCGAATACTGTCCTTGCATAGATGCTGCACCGTCATATGTTTGAGCAATCGGATCTGATTTCCAATTCAATCCATACTTGCCACTACACCTAACCTGATGAATCATCAACTACTTCCAGAGCTACTAGTCTTTCTTTAATTTGACCACTTTCATCAACAAAACGTAAAATCATGGAGAACTGTTCTAAACAAGCCACATCAGTGGTTGTACCAATGATCACTGAAAACTTGCCTGCTTTGGCAACACTATTTAAAATATTTTTCCGTACAATTTCACCGAGAATATGAATTAACGTATTTTGAGTAATATTTGATAAGAAGGTTAATCGATTTTTTTTTGTAGAATTTTCTATTTTTGCAATATGATGAGAGAGTATAGGATGGTGATTGGCTAATAACTTAATGACTTACAAAAAGTTTCCTCGATTCAATGAAGTAACACTCTCATCATGTCCTCGAAATGGAATATGTTGTCTTGCAAGATAAACAATTGTTTCAATGATAACTTTTACTATTTCTCTATTTTCGGCTACTTTGCTGTTTGAAGTTAGTCGACTGTCATTTATATCTACTCGATTATTCTTAACGTACATGGAATGTCTTATAATAGAGTTCAAATGATCAATAGACGATTCGTGTTCATTAAATCTAGTAGAAATATGTTGCCAATCATTTGTCCCCTCTCTAGCCAGTGAATTTGTTTTTCCTTTAGTTGTTCCAAATAGTTTACAGACAATACAATAAACTCTATCTACCGAAGGTGAATAGGAGACCCAAATTCTTTTTACAGTTGACTTATCAGGTAATACTTTGTAATAGTAACTGTTATTAAATGACCGAGCAATATTGTTTTGCTTCCTTTTAGGGAACAATTTACCAGGAATATCTGAAGCTAAAGGTTGACATGGCCCAATGGAAATCATATGTGCCAAATATTCACTAGTTATTTGAGAACAGTCAAACAAGGCTGGGTCATTTGGGTACCTTTCAAAATTAGCTGTAACTTCATTGAGCATGTGCATGTTTATTGACGCGCCATCAGAATCACCTACAGCAATAAATATCAGTAATTAATAATGAGATCAATAATTATTACATTTTACTACAATTTAATAAATTAGTTTTAAACAAAATACGTAAGAAAACAAATTTTAAAAATACTGACTATTTGCACATCACTATTAAGGCAATATTCCCATTTAAAAATAAAAGTAGAAATTATGAACATAATATAAATATTTTAATTTCTATTGGTATTTGAAAAAAATAAAATAGTGTTTACATTATTTTTATAATTATCTTCGACCAGAAAATATTTTATGAACCATTGTTTAAAACAGAGGTTCCCAAACTGTGGGTCGCGACCCAAAAGTGGGTCGCGATTATACTTTTGGTGGGTCGCACTATTTTTTTAAATAATACAAAAATATAATCATCTATTACTTTTCGTTGATGTTCAAAGTTCAAATTCAGTTTTATCGTCAATCCTTATCTGTGAGTATGACAATTACGAGTTTACCAGCGGCCGTGTCAAATACTATATATTATACTTATTATACATTTTTTTCGTAATTACATAAAATGTAATAAAATAGTTTAATTTTCTGTTGTATGGAAAAAAAAAAAAAGGTCATTCATTGATATTGTGGGTCGCTATATGTTTTAAACCACACTGTTAACATACCTTCTATTGTAATTTCCATTTGAGTCTGGATCAATTCTCGGCAGGTACTGGCACATTGGTTTTGAATTGCTACAACACAAGAAATAGCAAATCAATGAAACAATAAAGAAAAATATCTTCTACCAATTATAATTCCCATTACTTTATCGGATACCTAGTTGAATGTAGCACCACAGAATAGATTAAATGTAGATAAATTAAATTTAATAGATTAAATCTATTCTGCAGTGGCACTATAAGATGATGTGTCATTTTACCTGGGATATTTAACTGATGTTGTTTATCGAAATCCATCAATGCATCATCTTCAATGCTATCCACCACTCTTTCAGATTTTTCTGAACCAATAATATCCCCGCATTCAACTAAGTTAAATAAAAAGTTAGTTTAAATAATTTTGTGTAATTATAAGACATGGACTTAAAAATCTAGTTATATAAAAAAAAAGATTAGTTGAAAATGTGTCTGGTTCATTACAACTACACCTATACAGGGTAATTTTTTTTATCATTGAACACTCATTATGGAATAACATTTATTAAAAAAAAATATATATATTTTTGCCTATAACTCAAAAACTACAAGACCAAAATTTAATTTTCTACATTGATGTAAAAAGACTTAATAAATTATGATTGAAAAAATATATATATACTATAAAGAAAATGGTTGTTCTGTATTGACTTAAAATTATGTATAAGAAATATTTTGAAAAAAGTCAATACTTTATGAAATAATGAGTGTTTTTTGATAAAAGATCACCCATTATTGTTCATTGACATCTATCATTACATCAGATTTGTCTGTGTTGATATTAAAATCCACACGTTGAATTTAGTTAATTAGTAAAAGCAAAAAAGTGTAGTTTAAATTTACTATACTACTTTACTACTTTATACTTATTTTTTATGGTTAAAATACCTGCTGCTCTAATTGCCATTTGAGTCTGGTCTGTGTGGATCATTTCTTGACTGGTACTGGCACATTGGTTTTGAATTGCTACAGCACAAGAAATAACAAATCAATAAAGAAAAATACTTTCCTTTACAATTTTATCAGATACCTAGTTGAATGTAGCATTATAAAATAAATGATGTGTCATTTTACCTGGAACATTTACATTTAACTGATGTTGTCTATTGAAATCGAACAATGCATCACCTTCAATGCTATCCACCACTTTACCAAAATCTCCTGGACCAATAACATTCCTGGATTCAACTAATTTAAAAAAAAATAGCTTAAGTAATACTCTTAAGTAGTTATTTAAAAGTATTAAGAAAAAAAATTAACAGCACTTTCAGCATTATTAGAAAAAGTGTTCTCAGTCCTAAAACCTAGTACCTACCTATAAATTATATTTAATAAATGAACATTATGTATAAATAAATAAAAAAAAAATGTGAAAAGTAAGTCTTATAAATTAATAATATTACTTAATTACCTATATTTATTACACAATTGATTAAAATATTTATAAAAAATTATTATACTTAATAGGTACTTACCATTTGAACAAGAAGAGTCCAATGTCTCTACTTCCAATTGAGCCTTTTTTGGGGCTGAAAAAAAAGAAGTTATAGACTGAGATCTTATTACAGTTTTTCTTGCTTTACAAAAATCAAGATGTTTTTTCCAATTAGTTATATGTAAAGCTCCACAAACGCACATTTTTGTAATGTCCGACATTTAAAATTTGTAGTAAATCAATATTAATTAATAACTTATTTAAACACGAAGTATCAATAATATTATATTATATTCAAATAAACATAGCGCATTACACAAAACTAATGGCAATTGAAACTTGAAAACACATAAGACTAATAATTGACAGTAGCCCGTAGGCACTCGATAATAAAATGTACCGCGTAGGAATAGAGTTATTAGAGAATAGACACTACATACTATAAAATATATTGTATACGATTACGATAATGACATTACGTTTAAATAGAAAAATATTATACAACCGTGCCTAGACATCAATAAATATTGTTCTTGGTCGAACGCAGGTCGCGGGGATTTGGGAAAACCCGTTGAACGATAACGATTTTATTTATAAGCTACTTCAGTAGTATATAGAGTACAGTTGTAACTTGTAGTTACCACGTAAATATCAACTAAATGATAATGCTTTAAATAGCAATGTTTGGTGTTGTTATTCACAATATTGCGGTGCTGTACTACTGAGTATCTTAGTATAGTTATTAATGATGTTATTAATTCTTATTCTTATTCTTGTATCTTATTCAAATGTAGTAAGTTTTGTACAACAATATTTCTTACTAAATCCAGCACTCACCACTTACCCACCCACCCAAAATGATCGGGCACTTGCCCTTCAAAATCACCGTCAACACGCCACTGTTATAGTGTAAATAGTACATCATGAAAAAAATGTTAAAACATAAAGCATTAATTTGTTCTCTAGAATATTCTTAATATTACGTTCTTTTAAAAAAATGTTTACAAATAAAATAAATGTACTATTTATGTTTATTCAATGAAAATAATTTGTTTAACAGTTGAACTATAATACACAACAATTTAAATATTATCCAAACTTAAACTTACCTTGGAACATTAAATCAAGTTTCATATTATTGTTCATACTTTTTTTCACTCCATCTTTTTTAATTGTACTCAATTTTTGGTAAGCACAACCACTGAGCTTTCTACCCATAATTTCAATCTGAAAGAAGTTTGTGTTATAATCTCAGTTAAAAGCAAAGTATAAAAAACTAAGTTAAGTCGTAAGTAATTAAAAAGCTTCATGCTTTCATGCGTTTTTAGTGTAAACATTTAAAGTTGTTTATGTCACTATTGATTATTGATTAATATTAATAAATGTATGTCATTAATTAATGACGAATAACAAATGTGTTAAACATTCCCAATTTTTAGTGAAAATTGTTCACATTAAGTTATTATTTATTTATTTATATATATATATTATTAAATATATAAAAAATATAATAATAATTTAATATGTATAATACATGTAATATATATAATTAAAAATTACTTACCTACTTCAATTGATTTTGATTAGATATTTTAGTACTTGAATAAAACGGACGGAACTAGGAAAGACGCAGTAGGTATAATATATTAATATAGGTAGTTAAATATTCGACAAACGGCTGACGACTTAAACGTTAAATGTTGACAAGTGATAACTAGGTATTAACTTCCTATTACAGTAAAATAATCAAGACATAGGTATTACGTAAAAATGTAAAAGTAAAATAAACATTATCATTAGAGCAGAGGACTTGAAGCTCTAAAAAAGCTCTAAATATGCAAGCACTTATGCACTAAAAAACCCCATAATATGCAATTAAAATATGCACTTAAAATTTTTTTTTAGCCTTTTTATTTAAATAATAAATACATAATACATTAACATTATTATTTATTATTTATTAATTTATTACATTAATACTAATTTATACATTTTACTTCATTTTCTTAATTTTCATAATTTTCTACATCTTCTGACTCTAAAAAAAAATAATACCCATGGTTTAGTAAAAATAATTTTAGCCATTACATATTTAATTGTTATAATACTTTTACCTTGAAAATTACATTGAACGATCAAATGTTTTTTTATATTTTCAAACTGAAAAGATTGTCTGTTGTCTGCCAAAAGAACTTTGAACATTTAAAATGACCTTTCAACGTCGACAGAGTTAACTGGAGCGTATTTGTAGTAGACCAAATCGTTTATGCTAAGATTTTCGGGTAGTTCGTCCATTGAAGTTTCTTCGCCATTTAAAATGTTTGAAATTCGAATTAAACTTTGATATCCAATATTTTTTTTCAGAACATCATTCATTTTTACTTTAACAATTTTTCCAATTGGACCAGGGACTTGACACAATTTCAAATTAACATTTTGCACTGCATCGATTTCATGACTAAGTAAAATATTTTTTGCTTCAAGACTGGTAATTGGTATCAGGTAAAAATCCATAATGTGACTTGATAAATACTAAATTTGCCGCAAGGGTTGCTTCATAAAAATACTTTTGTAAATTTGCAATAGAAATAGCGTCTTCCTTATCCAAAGAGTCGACAATAGATTAAATAACTTCAAGGTGTTCCAGTAATAAACAGCGGCTCTTATCCACGTCCCCCTTCTTGTTAAAATAGGTGCTGGCGGTAGTGGAATTTTGGGCGCTTTATCTTTAAATATTGCAACACGATACACATAATTTTTTGACTTTTGCGATGATTTTATCAACTTTACAATAATTTCCCCGAATTTTTTCAGCAATAAGATGAAGTCCGTGCACAATACAAGTAACGTGAATAACTTTAGGATAAAATATTTGAATTGATTTCCCGGATTTCACCATATAAGGCGCCGCATCACTTAAAAACAGTAGGACGTCGTCGTGACGCACTTTTTCTGGCCACAATAAATGCATCGAATTATAAAATAATTGCGGAATAGTTGAATGATTGGCTTTGGTCAGTACTTCGGAATTCAATAAAAATGTTTGGCCTGGACCATCGGTTTCAAGAGTACCGATTACTACGTTTCCAATATATCGACCCGAGGTTAGGTTACCTTACGAACTATTCAATAAAATTAAAACGAAAATAATGCGTCAAGATACAGTTATGAGATCTGCGATACCAGCAGAAGAGATGTTGGCAGTTACTTTGAGGTAATAAATAATAAAATATACAAAATAAATAATTATATTATTTTATCATTTATAATTACATTAAATAACTAGTCATAATATTTGCATTTATTAAAATTATAATTAATGAAAAATTGAAAAAAAAACAATAAACCTTTTAGTATGTTATTTGTGCTCCTTAGCATTTGATTAACAAAAAAATTAAAATTAAACATTAGCTTGTGTATTATTTGAAAGTTACATACTATTCGATGACGTATTTGATACTAAGTTTTGTTCGTCTGGAGAAAACTGGCTAAACTATCCAGTAACGGAATTGTTTGAAGACAACGGTGAAATTGTTCGAGCTGTACTTGTTTGTGCCAATTCGTCATGGCTGTACACCGGTATTGTAGACGGGTACACGGGCATAGAAGTGTTATAACTATGATTTAATGTAGATATCGGTACACCAGAATTGTGGTTGAAAATTGGAACGGGTGGTTGGAAATATGGAGGTGTGTTATTGGTTAGCTTTATACGTTGGAGAAGCTGCATAAGTAGAATTCGGAATTGCATTTTTTGTTCCATGTTCAATGTCTTAACTAATGGCAATGTTGACTTATAGAAGTTTAGGTCCTCATCATCAGTATCTCGGTTTGGTTCATAACTACTTTGTTGTCTCGAGTCCAAAAACAAAGCTAGTTTTTCTTCCAAGTTAATTTTCTTTTTTTTAGTGGGTGTAGGTGTTAAAACAGTTTTTTCTGCAGTATTTGAATGAACATCTGTTAAACTTTCATCTGCTATAGCCATATCATCTGACAATTGTGTTGCATCAGCATCTCCTTCGTTTAAATTTGATTGAATACTACTAGCAGTGGGACGATGTTCTCTATTTTTTTTTAAAAATGAGAGCTGTTCTTCAAAAATGTAACGTTGTATTTTTTTTCGACCACTGCCAGACTTATTGCATTCTTCTTGTTTTTTTAAACTACGGACATAATTATCGCGTACACTTCTCCATTTTGATATAAGATCTTGTACTGTGTAAAACATATAGAAAAAAAGGTGGGTAAGTGGATGTCACTCTGTTGTACAGTAGGTTACAAGTGGGTCACTGTTTAATGGATGGTATTAAATTTGTATTCAATGATATAATATTATCATTGTATAAGAAAAACGATTCTGAGCTGGGACGGTTTGTTATGTGGATATTTTATATGTAATTTCGTCCAAATATGAACATAAAAAAAACTAAAAAAAAAACTGTGTGTTTATATTTTTGAGATTTTTTGGTTACAGAATAACCTACTTACGTGGTACATTATTTGTAATTTTCAATCCTTTATTACATTTAAATATTTTTGTAGAATATTTTGGGATTAAAAAGTTAACGTTTATGAAATATTTAAATTAGAATAAAGTAAAAAATTTTAATTGTTATATTTTCGGTTGATTTTGTGGTTTTGTTATTTGTATGCGTATATTTATTTTATATTTTTATCCACATATCCTATTTGCAGATACCTGGGTAGTACAAACAGTCTTCAAGATTTACACTACGAATTTAGAACTGGTAGATCGACTTTATGTGGTATTATACGGACAGTGTGTTTGCAAATATGGGAAGTTATGCACGATGAATGTATACCAACACCAAATGAAGAAAAATGGCTGAACATCGCCGAAGGTTATCAACAACGAGCACAATTTCCTCATTGCATAGGTGCTATTGATGGAAAACACATCAGTCATCAAATCACGTGGAAGTGCGTCTCAATACTTTAACTACAAACACTTCAATTTTTTCTGTGGTTTTATTAGCGGTGGTTGACTCTAATTATTGTTTCACTTTTATTGATGTCGGTTCGTTTGGAAAGGACTCAGACTCTACAATTTTTAAAAACTCAACTTTACATAAGCATCTACAAAATAATTCTCTAAATGTTCCAAAACCTAATCTAATACATGGTATTCAGATACCTATGCTATATGCATTTGTGGGCGACGAAGCCTTTGGGTTGTCAACAAATATGTTAAGACCATATGCAGGAAAATGCTTACCAGTCAATAAAAGGATTTTTAATTATCGACTTTCACGTGCACGGCGCCATGTAGAGTGTGCGTTTGGAATTTTATCCAATAAATGGAGGATATTTCACCGCCCAATAGATGTTGATGTAGAATTAGTAATTGATATTGTAAAATGTTGTTGCGTTTTGCACAATTTCGTTCGCGCACGTGATGGATATGATTTTGAAGATTCTCTAACAGTGACTGGTATGGAAGACATCGAACTAGATAATAACTTCAACGTAAATAGATCTGTTAACAGGTATCGGGATGCACTAGCAAATTATTTCAGTAGTGAATTAGGACAAGTGGCATGGCAGAATGAAAAAATTTAAAATATTATATAAGTACCTATGTTTATTTTTATAGTTAATAGTAATATACTTAATTAATACTTAATTAATATACTTAATATTAATAATATCATATTAAAATAAATAAATAAGAAATCAGTTGATACTTACTAATTATTTTTTGTTCTGTTTGAGTTTTTTCACTAAAATGTTCAAATATAATAGTTGCAACTTCCATCCATCCATCATTTTTCTTATTCCTATCTTTATAAAAGTCGTCACTTACATCCCATAAAACTGGCCGTTTTTCTATTTCTGTTATTAATAATTCTACATCCATTTTTAAACTATATAACAGACGAAATTCAGCAATAATTGCAATAATTATTGAACGATTTTCACGATTTCCACGATTAACGTCCGTCAAAACAGCGTTCATGTGACCGAGTCGATAATATCTAATAATAAACTACGACGTCCGATAAACGCTATTTACGTCCGTCGCAGCATGTATCGGACGGTAAATCCGACGGACGTCAAGTGTGTGACCGTGTTGCTAAGTAATCACATAATTCAACAACGGACGTTATGACGTCCGTCGTAACGTACGTCAGTAAAACGTTCGTGTGACCGAGGCCTAAACGGCGCTCCCGAACGATTACTCGTCGCCGCCGTCGGCCGGTGGTGAATTGCGAATAGTAGGCGTGGCTTAAACGCCGCGCGCTTGCGAATCGTGAAAACACTTAACAGCGCATCCTCTCGGTCGTTGCACGCATGACAAATAAAACAGGTATGTCAGCAATATATTTGATACGCATAAAATGGCGGTCGGCTTGCGCCTATTATCAATTCCTCTCTTATCATCATATAAATAATTTCTGATTTTCTAAATAAATGTGAACTTTTTTATTTAATTTTACATTTACATTAATTGCAAACTACTAATAAATAATAATTGTATCATTTTAAAAACTTTTTAATTTTTTTTTTATCTCTTGACTTAAATTGTTTGTCTATTATTTGTCTATTCAAATTGTTGAGGCGAATGTACGTGCGAGTTCGTACTAAACACTGAACAACCTCTGTTGGGATTTTGAGATGTTCGATGTTTGGTCTTAGTGTATTTGTAAGTTTTTTAAATATTTGTAATTCATTTGACAAATTGTCTCCATGCAATTGTTTGAAGTATTTCTCCATAATTTGTACAGCTTGAAACATATTGTCTGATGGTGTCTTAAGATTGCCCTTACTTTTAAAGTCAATCCAATTATAGTTTTTTGTCGGTGTCTTAACAAGTT